ATCCCCGGCGTTCTTACGTTTGAGTGGTTTCGTTTTAAGTTTTGTTTTTATTTCCTCAACTTTCTTCCATCCCCTCTTATTTTGTTTCTAAAATTTGATGTGACTAAACAAAAATATTTTTGTTTCTGTAGAGGTTGCACCCACTTTTAGAATGCAAAGAGCACAAACTACTAAGGACTTTTTTCCATTCAAGTGGCAAAGGAGAGGAGCAAGGATGTACAAGAGCCTAAACGTATAAAAGTGTTTATTAATAAACAGATGATAACATGCATGATATGATGCATATCAGTCAAGAGCTCCCTAAATTGACTTAGCGACGAAGGCTTAAGAAATCTTACATAGCCTTCCACACAGGATCAACTAAATCTCATTACCAACACATTGTTTTACTGTTTAACCACAACCTTCAAAAGGGTCCGATCAAACCAGTTTTGGATATAAAACATCGACTTGTTGCACGGACAAACAGAACACTAGCGTGAGCGATTACACACTCAATTAGCAGATTAATACCCTAATGTATGGAATTAATTGTTCTGCGCTGACCACCAATAGAGTCATGTTGCAGTCCTTTCATCACACCTCTTATGACCACTGACCACATATGATCGCCGTCCTTTGTGTTATTAATCCCCTTGACAGCAATGGTCCGGTTTGTCGCGTGGTAGTCCTATTCCAAACAAGAGTCAACTGCAAACAAAACAAACAGCAAATGACTCAATTGTCCACCATTAACACAACACTGACCTTAGGTCAATGTTGATACTATCCAAGAAAGGAAACCAGTTAACAACGACAACAAATGCTTGGAAGGGAAAACCGGTTCCCTAAAGAAACAACCCTCGTCAAACGACGATTTGAGGATGTTTACCTATGACACCCTACACGAATTTTTAATGCACGCTAATGTCAATAATTAAGATACATCCGATAAACGAGGGGTGACCTCCACACGGATCAGTTGTTGATGTATGCTGGGAAGTGTCTACAAAAGGGAGAACATTTATTGCATAAGTAGAAACCAAAGAGGCCGGACCATTTACATCATAGTGACTGAAAACACAATTCAAATTGTATTGGAAACTGAACTAAAAGATATTTAAAATATTACAGGAAACCTTTTTCTGTTCTTGTCAAGGCACATGTCAGAACTTAAAATAGACTTAAACAATAGCTTGTATGTTGGAGGTCCATTTGCGATAGGAACAGAAATTCGCACAACCTAGATGAGAGTTGCTTAAATGTGGATGAATGCGACAAATTAATGTGAAGCCGTTTGTTTGTTGACATTCGCTTGCAACAGAACTGTCTGCGGTTCTGATTTTTTCCATCGGTCTACCCTCTGTCTGCCGCAATATAAATCTGGCGAAACTCCTCACCCACAGTGAATGACAATAGACAACGTTAATATTTAATAAGGTGCGAAAACGGCTTCCACATGGAACCATCCATCCAATCGTTCATTCGTTCTGTTTATTTTTTGATGATTAAGGGAAGCATAAATACCAAATTCAGCCGAACTTGAAGAGGGTGCCATCCATCCGTCCATCTTTATTTGACGTCTATATTTTTGATGGTTTTTAATTTAAGGAAAAAATTATCCTGACACTCGAATACCATAAATTGTTGCAAATAAAACACGGCGACATAAGTGAAAGGCGACGAAATGTTAGACTGATAGATTGTAATAAAAATCGGAAATATACGACTAAAACCATCAGAAACCTATAACTCCATTCTCTGCAGCAAAATGACGGATTTGATAGTAACAAATTTTGATTTAAGTGTTACGACATTTGAATAACATTGATGTATTATTACACCTGAATTACAGCTCCCTCCTCTGTGACACACCCTTTGTGGAGTATCACGTTTTTTTTTTAATTTACCAAAAATGTATACATTTCCATTTAATTTCTTTTCTCTTTTTGTCATTCAACGATTCGGAGCGTGGTTATGGTTACCAAATATCCTCACTTTTAACATCATTCCTAGCTGTTCTCAATCACACATCCATGGAGCAGAAGTAGTGTTGTTTTGCGAAGGGTTTAGAATTGTTTGACTATGGTTTTCTTCCGTTTCCTTTCTCAAGTTTCGAGAACAAATATCTTACTGAACCATCAACAACAACTACAATGTTGTCGTTTTATACAGAAGGGGAATCCTAAGCGTACCAGACAGGAGGAGAACATCAACAATGGCTGGATATAAAAAAATAAAAAAACAAATCATTTCTTTTGTCAAAGTGTCTGGTACTTCAATTCTTTTGTGTGGGTGTGGTTGTGTTGTTCTTTCAGAAAGTTTCATTTCAATAATTTAAAAAAAAATTAATATTATAATTCTGAAAATAGTGTATACCACTGAACATATGAAGAAACAAATCAATTGTAATGCTGAATTAAATTAATTGAAACAAAAAAAAAAACAGAACAGAACAGAAACAGAAATAAAATCTGGACCCGTCAATGCGTGGAAGCACGAGAGCCTCGTCCGTAGTTAACTCCATGTTTTTGGGCACATTCAATAGCATTAATCATACCATTCCGGCATTGAGTTAACAAATACCGCTTCAGCCAATGTTATGATAAGATAAAAACCAAAAACTAAACCAGTGGAAGTTACATACCTCTCGGGTCCGAAAGAATAGTTAACGTTTAGTTCAAATAATAGTCAACAAATATTTGTAAGCCGGCACAGTGAAACTGACAATGAAATATTCTGTGTATTTAGAGAAAGGAAAAACAGTAAGCAGATCATTACAGTCGGGCGTGGCCGACCATATTATACACACGGCAACATTTTGCGCTATTGGTACTATCTCATGCAGATCCTTGTAAATATCCGAGTATGTACATACATAAAATTGATACCAGATTAAAGGTCAAGGGCTCGTCTCGGATGCATGTTATAAAATAGACGTCTAGGTCTATTTGATGTTGATCGTCACAACTGCCATAAATATATCCGCTTTTCCGTCTAAAATTTTGTGATGTTCAGGTTTATTTATGACCTATGGAGCGATCAGAAAAACATACAAAAAAGTTTAAATGTCTAGCATAATTTGTATTGCACTGTTACTATGGTATGTTTTGTTCTACAGTATGTTAGGCCTCGAGGGTTAAATAAATTGTCATTTTATTTCCCGAAACCCCATCTCTGTTAAACTGTGGCCACATTCGTTTCACATTATATTTTACGAATGTCGAACAAAGTAGTCGAATTATAGGTAAGGGGTCTTTATCTAATCTTATCAACAGGTATCGGCTCTCTCCACCAGTGGTGAGATTATTTCGTGATTATTTCGAAGAGCAGAGAGGCAAACACACATAGGCGCGGTTCAGTTGGCCTACATAGAAGTTAGTACGACATTTGAATCAGGTGAAGATAGAAGGTACAATTCAATTGCAAACTGTGTACAACAAAGAAAGAAAGAAAGAAAAAAGAACAGAGTGAACAATTAAAAAAGAACCATATACACACATCGATTCGATGAACATGTGAACAAATCATAAGTAGAATTAAAACCGCAAATGTAATTTTAAGTAATTCGAATACACTGTTGAAAAATCAAAGGAACCGATCGAAGAAGAAGCATTCAATTTGTAATCTTTGACAAAAAAGAAAACAAAATAACCGAATGAATGAATAATTAATGTGAAACCAAACTGTGCGAAAACATATGTGAAAGGACGTCTATAAAATGTCATTTAAACAAAAAAAAAATAAATCATATTTAAATTCTAATATTTTCCTTGCCTAAATGTGGTCATTTCAAATAGATTTTTATGTGTTATCGCAGACTTTAATACTGCTCCAGTTGATAACATATCAGTTAGTCTTAAAATCGCATTCAGTGTTTTGTGTTCTTAGTCATCGTCATAGAGGGCGACGGCAATGCCTGTGGAGTATTTTCAGTGAAACAAGTGTATATTGCTCGCTTTACCTTATCATCAACCTACAACCCACCCCTTCTTCGCCTGTGTTTATCGGCAAAACAGAAACATTACAACATAGTTATCTGCGTAAGTTTGTGAAAGACGCGATATCTGTTGCCCAATCTAAGCCATCTAAATTCCACTTGCTTTTTTTGTTTCGAAGCTATAGCTATATAGAAATGAATCACAAATAAATACTCAGGTTGTCTAATAAAATATTCAGTCGAATCTATCCATTTCCTAAATGCATCCTTCTTTTTATGCATCCTTTCATATACAAGCTGAAGCATATGGAGTCCACATCCACACTTTAAAGTTATACCAAACCATTTACGATTTTACCACGACAATTTTAACCTTTAATAGTTTTTATTGTACAATTATTTCGATGTGAATTTGTAAAGTTGACAAGAATCGTCGATGTGGTATCTCTATTGATGATGGTTCTACTATTGAGGTATATTAGTTATTTATTCATTTTGTGTTAATCATGCCAGATATGCAAATCCTACTTCTGCCTAATTTGTAACAACGCAATATGGAACAAAACGAAGAACTGAATTTCGCAAATGTCCTGGTATTAGCTAATCAAATTTGAGTACAAACATACAGAGACCAAACCATAAAAAACGAATGAACACTAAGTTTCCGCACAGATAACATTCTTGTAAATGAAAGAACACGGCGATCGATAGATAGCGGTGATATCATGCGAAGTAAATCGCCACTAAACTTATTCTTATCGAAATTGTCAACTGATAACATAATTCACTTGTGCTCGCACCAATGACTAATGCCGCCAGAAAGGGCTTAAAATACACGGCCAACGTATAGGGACCGAAATATTTATATCTATTAACCCTGAACTAAATTCAGAAGTTACCCAAACAAGTTAATTGTCCGGAGGAAGGGGGAATAGGTGTACGCTTTATTGACGAACTGAACAATCGTCAATACGGAAACCAATCTGTTTAGAAATAGTTCGACATTTCGTTTGTTTTTTGCCATTCAATTGTGTTTCTCATTTCAGAACAAGCGATCAATACATTCGAAAAAAATAACACACACACACAAAAGATATGGTCAGCCTTTCGGGAAGCAACAGCTTGGTGGCTGTAGCTTTGGTATATCTATGCTGCAGCATAGGTGTGACAGAAGCTCAGGAAAACGCCCAATTGCAGATTCCGCCATCACTTGTGGAATGCTACAACACCAGTTATTTTATGAATCGCGATAATCGCTTGCCCTCAAACCTGGAAACACTCATCACGCTGATAGAGAAGGTGGAGAATTCGTATGGCTTCGATCAGGATATAACACAATTGTCGATTGCCCTGTTGCATCGCTTCCGCCAGGATGGCATTCAACGAGCTCCTGGTGTGGTGGCCTCTCCCGGTGTTATACCTTACAGTCCAACGGGATTCCAGTTTCCCAAATTCCGGATTTTGTTGTCGCGGTTGATACCAGGAAACGCTTTGCGTTTCCCCAACAATACTCTGACCAGAGAAGAACGATGCTCTTTGCATTTTATGCTCTCCAGTTCGTTTGATACCCAAGTAAGAGGTGATGAAAACCAGGTCTGCAACAACCTGTCGCAATACAGAGCCCAGCGATTGTCGCGTTCATTGGCCGCCCCACAACAGAAACGCAACAATTTCATTGGAGATGTTGAAATTCTGGACGGTCTGCAGTCCAGAAAACCAGTTCCCGGAGCCAAACAACGCATGAACCCCATGAACTACGACTACGATTGGGATGACATGGGCTATGGGTATGGTGGCGATACGAATACCATTAGCCAGTGCCCAGTGGAAAATGGTGTTATTCGCACCAAGTGGGGAAATGTGGCAGCAGGCAATTTGATTGCCGGCATAGCGGCAGGTCTGCAACCCCAAACCGTACAGCTGAGATCATTGCTGGCCTTGTCTTCTCGACGCGGGAGCTACGTTCAAAATATGCCTCAAGTAGCTACAGTCGGCGTGGACAATCGTTGGGCTGCTACTATAGCTGGTGACTTGGCTGAGGTTGCTCTGGTCCAAGTCCCCGTATCCAGCACTGGCCAGGCAACGGTGGGAGCCAGCGGTGCATGGAATAGCACTGTGATGCCCAAATGGTATTTCCTCAGTCAACGTCAAAACATGGAAATGACTGATGCTGAAATTCGTGGGGGACTCGATGGCCTCATCATTGCCCTCAACATCCAGTCGTGGCGTCAACAAGTTTCCAACTTAAAGCTGTCCCAGTTGCTGAGAATGTACTATTCCCTCGACGGAGTCCTGAACAGTGGCATCATGGCCTGTAATCGGGCTGCTTACTTTACTCAGAACATCCAGATGACAACAATGAATGTCCAAGCCTCCGCCTTTGCCCAGGTTCTAGATCGGGAAATGCAGTTGCGAGTAACATTGTCTCCGGATGCCATAGCCACATTCGCCGCATCTGCAGCTACCGCCTTGGGTACCTACATACGTAAGTAGACCAGGTTTAAGTAACAATTGTTTTGAAAAATACTCTCAATGGTTCTCGAGCAATATGTCCTGCACGTCACATCGATAAACGAACTGCACAGTCCCCCCGCTCCGGTTTACAGGTCTCGATTAAAAGCGATTTGTTCTTTTTTCGTTTGTAGCCAACATGAACGATGTGTCCTGTTCAGTTAGTAGCGCTCTGCCCCAAGACGTCTCGCAGTCAATAAAGCCCATGACCAACATCTTTGTCTTCTTGGACACCACCTGGCCTTATTATCAAATCGTTGACTACGTAAAGTAAGTTGTTTCACATGCACTGCGACAGGCCATTCCACCTATTTTGGTTCGTTCTCGTTTCAGTTACGTATTGCAAAATCTCAATATCAATCCCTACGCCAGTTCGGTTACACTGCTGGCAGCCCAAGATGGTTCAGTCATTGTCAACACCACCAACTATATTTCCGATGTTTACGAAGCATGGAATGTGACCACCCACGCGACATGTAAGTTCATACCTCCCTATGCATAGCCGATTGAGGATCTCAGTGCTTATTGTGTTATTTGTGTTCGCCTTTCAGTTGCTCAGGGCTTCAACCTGCCAAATGTGCTGAGGACAGTGCAAAATCTCACTTACAATTACATGAATGTCCAGCAGACCAACTCTTCGGTGGGCGGACTGTCCTTGGTTGCGTTGATGATTCCCTACATGGCTACTATCAGTGCCACGGACTCTAGTTATGCCACTACTCAGCTGCAATACATCAACGAACAAATGCCCGACTTGCGTTTCATATACTACGCCGGCGGCACTGTTAGTCGTTTCTCGTCCTTTGTACAGGACCCCACCAAAGACCTGTTCCCTTTGACCGTTGGTACGAACCCAGCCACAGCAGGTGGCCCGGTCGTAATGCGCATCAAAAAGAGTAAGTTCCACACTGTGATGCCTTCAATGAAAAGAGTTAGATAATTACCGTTTCGTCTTAGTTCCCCGACAGATTGTGAATCCTCGTTGCGGAGCTATGTGGTACACATCCACGTGGGGCACGGATCAAATGGCCCAATACATTCGTCCTGGTTATATAAGTTTCTATCGCTTGTCGCCCAATTACTTCTATGGAGCTGGAACTGGGCGTTACTTGAACATCCAATCGCAATCTTCCTCTGTCCAATATACCATCTGTACCTCGCGCTCCATTGTTTTGCCTCAACAAAACTCGAGCAGTTCCAGTAGCGATCAAACCTGTGTCACATTGCAGGGTAACACGTTTTCCTACGATCTGTCCTCGGCCTGCAGTGGATATTACACCATCCATCAGTGCCCCCCGCTTTACGTCTCGGTACAGGCGCCAGCAAGTGGAACCACCCAAATGTACACTTGTACTGATCCCGCTTGTCAATCACCCGATCAGACACGTTACGTTGTGTCAGTCGTGAACCTTGGCTGCTTTAGTGGAGTAACTGGTTTGTCAGCCAGTTTGCTAACCATCCTGCTGACATTGGTGGCGCGCCAGCTCTTCTAATAGAACGAACAACAACGACAATTTCATTTTTCAGCCTAGCATCCTAAAATACGAGCATTTTCGATAAGTTCACCCAGAGAATTACCTTACTTCACATCACGAACAGAGCATGTCTTTTTATACCTTTGCAACCTAACCACACAAAATATTTTCTAGTTATACATTAAGCGTAAGCAAATAATTAAATATTACTACTAGTATCTATTCGGCTTGTTTCTTTTCAATAAAACGCCAATTCGATTGCAAAACCGAAACTGGGCCTTGCCCATCGACCAAAAAACACAGAAGGGCCCGAGAGTATTTATTCAAAACTATTTGTTAAGTTCGCTTTCGTTTCACTTGATCCAATAACCCATCACTTCATTTTTCAAAAGCTCTCATGAACAGCAGTCTGACTTCCGTGGTTGTGGCAGAGTCCGTTGACATTACAAATCGTACAGCCATAATGACCGATATATTCATGTTCCTGGACACATCGTGGCAGTACAAACGTGTAGTGGATTACGTCAAGTAAAGTGAGGCGCATACTCTCCAACAATGTCTACTAATCTATTGTGTTTCCCTTACAGCTATGTAGTAGAACGTCTAAATATAAACCCCCACGGTAGTTCCATAACCCTCCTGGCCGCACGAGATGGCAGTATAATGGTAAACAGAACATTTTACCTCTCCGAATTCTATTCGAATTGGAATATTACAACACACTCCAACTGTAAGTTTAATACATGTGCACTTAAGCTATCATTTGTAGCTGGATATGCATAGGAAATAAAAAAAATAAATAAATGTATTTCAAAGCAATCTTCCATTGATGGTGTTCGGAATCAATGACGGCCCGTCAACCTGAAACATTTCTACTAACCTAACCTCGATTCTCATTTTCCCTTTCTCAGTCCGAAACGGTTTCAGCTTACCTCTGATTCTAAGTAAAGCTAGGGATTTGGCTGAGAATGTAATAAACAACCAACGGACAGAGGAATCAATGGGAGGACGATCAATGATAGCTCTTCTAATACCCAGCCCTGTTGCCTTTGTACACGAATACGACTTTGACTATTGCCAACGGTATGTCCAAAGGTTGAATGTCACCATACCTGAACTGAAATTCATATACTACGCCGGTGGAGCTGTTATTCGTTTCATGGACTATGTTTCGAATCCCAAGGACGACTTATTTGTACTCGACTATGATGTGGGCGTTGACAAATGTGCTGAACCACTAATCCACCGAATACGATCAGGTAAGAAGCCTTTCCACTACTTTGCGTTAAATATTGCTATCTCTGCTTTTCAGTGCCAAGATATTTGACAAATCCCCGATGCAACTCGCATTGGACACTTGAAAGCCAAGGCCAGAACAAATTGGTAGAATACCAAGCTTTGGGAAGAATCAATTTCTACGCCATACCACCCAATTATTTCTACCATGATGCAAGTATGCGTTATTTGAAAATAAGACCCGCAAGACCCGTGGCATTTATTGTGTGCACTTCACGAACGCTAAAGCTTCCTTACCGCAATCCTTCAGCCCCATACACTGAAGGTCAGGATTGCAAGCAGATATCGTCCAATGATTACAGTTACGATTTGACAGCTATGTGCAATCACAATGACCAACTACTGGACTGCCTGCCACTGTATATCTCGGTGCAGTCGCAGGATTTTGCTGATTCTTCACAGGCATTATGCAATGACCAAAATTGTCCCACACCAATGAGTGCTCAATATTCGATAGTTGTAAATAATTTAGATTGCAGCAATAGGGGATTAACAATGCCAACAACCAACAAAATACCAATAATTCTGTCCTTACTTCTTCTTAGTTCGAATATATTTTAAGTTTCATGTCAAAAATAAAATAAAACAATGTGAAGTATTGAAATAATAATGTAACTAATACAATATTTGAAAATATATCGCTCATTTGCTGCAAGAGAGGTATAACTCAAAAAACGTGATTTTCGAGTTAATGATGCACGATTGTTCGCTTTAATAGATCTCATGTTGTGTAAAAAATGCATATGAATATCTCTTACACGCTCCAAATGAGAAGCTTTGGAAGTTCCTCTGTCCCATATAAAGTGTGAGTAAACTGAAAACTTAAAACACATTTTCTGCAAAATCGTGTTTTTTGGAGCTATGCCTGACTTGTAGCAAATGAGCGATATGTTCTCATGTAAGTTGTACTTAGAATATAAATAAACATACCATAAATAATACAAAATGTATTTGCCAATACAATAACAATTAAAAAATCTTTATAACAAAGTCAATAACACTATAAAACCAGTAAGGAAAATTCAAAAGTTGGGTGATACTGACTATATGATACCCTTCACCACTTTGGGTTCATACAGAGATGTTCCTACGTACAATATCCTGTCCATAGAAGAAACATAGCATCTTTGGGGGACTATTGTGATCTAAAAAATATATGAACCAATTTCAATCAACCCATACACATGTCATTCTGAAATATTTTCAAAATTGATCATGTGTACGAAATAGAGCAAAACTATGTACATATATATAGCACTCATACATAGTAAATCTTGAAACCTATGCTGTATCTCGAATGTAAGCTGTAGCAAAGCGTGTTGTCCAAGTACCATCTAAATCAAAAAAAAAAGTTGGTTATTCATATTGTGCACTATCATGAAATACCACGTATCTAAAGCCGAATTAAATGAAACTTAATACACCTTATTGAATTCTCTATTACCTATGCTGCCCAACATTTCATCGAAACCGAGCAATCTTTGGGTATTTGGTGCACCATATTCATAACATCGGACGAAAATATATATGGGAACTATATCTATATCGGATCTGATTTTAATAAAACTTCAGACTGTACAAATTGTGGTCTCAATTGGAAAAGATTGTGTCTTGGGTAAGCTATTGTGAATTTGAAATAAAAAACCTATATCTAAATCTGAACGGATTTTCATCAATTTCAATAGGTTTCGTCCTTGGGCCAAATTACATCTCATTCAGATCATAAATGCAACATGTACTGTACAATTTAACGTGTACAGACAGACGGACTATTCTAGGCATCCAATATTTCACATAAAAGATCCAGGGACCTCTTTCGAATGCAAAAACCATATTTGACGATTCAAAAATAGGTAAATATGCTTCCTTTATGGCTTTTTCGTAGAACAAAGGTCCAAATCAGGGATAACAAAGGCACGTTAAGAAAAAAAACGCCAATATGCGAAAATGTGTGTAAAAAATATAAATAAAATAAGAGATCTGCACTCAAAATATATGTTTTCATTTTATAAGCTTGCGTTAAGCACTTAAAACGTTTAACATTGTTCGCTCTGCTGCTATTATGTCTTTGCAATCGGATTCGACAGGTCTTCGTAATAAGGAATTTATACTGAACTTATTGAAAAACATACATAGGGTTTTAGTAACATGACACCAACAAAATTGTGAAAATACCATTAAATCGTTAAAATATAAATTTCACGTCTTTAAGGACGTCGCCTAAAATCTAATGAGCAACATTTTTTGAAAAATATTGCAACTATAGCACCTTCGGATAATAGGAATGCAGTTCAATAAACTAAGGACGAAATGGATACCCAAGGAATAGAGTTAGATGGACGGAATGTTAGACAAATATGTAATGTAATGTAATATGGCGATTTTTTTCCTTTTGGGTGTTTTCATATACTCACAAGGGCCCTTCAGTCGCAACAGAAATTTGCAATCCCCAGAACATGACCTCGATTTTGCCTCAAAGTGTAATTAAATAAAATAAATCTTATTTTAATCATTAATAGGCAAAGCTGATTTATTCTCAATATTTTAAATCGTTTTTGAAAAAAAAAAAACGAAAAGTCATAACCCTAATGCATAACGACATCATGTTTGGGTGTAGTGTATAAACAAAACATTAGTAAGAAGGCGCCTCTGCGGCCATCTGTACGTCACCGTGTGAACAAATGGGCGTTTGCCTAAAGGTCTTAGAGAACAAACCAGATGTGGATGTCTGCACTAGATGCAACGGCAGGGTTGCTTGTGAAGTACAGGCAATGATTTTTAAACTGTAATCAACAATCGGGCATTCAAACTCTTAATATTTCGAATGGCTGGAGTTCACAAACGACAATTTTAAGCCGACATTAGCAAGTATACAAACCAAACATTTCTAATTCTCTCAATTGGCCAGTGTCTGCGAAAATGGGTTTTGTCTGTACTATTGCCCACTCAAACAACAATTATGGTTGTTGTAAACCAGAAGTTAACTCAAACCAAAGCCATACAAACATAATGACGTATGCATGCATTCATTGGATTATATTTGTTCAGACAAAAACACTTGTCTTTTGTATTTAGAAAGAACGCATTAACAGAAACCAATTGCCGAATAAGGGCAGTTTATTGATGGAACATTAGCTAAATTCATGCATCCATATATATTGTCTGCTGCATATTGTTAGTATGAAAAATCCTTAAAACGATTGTTGAAACCTTTTCAAACACACGCATTGATTGTTTATTCTAGAATTCGATCCTGAATTGTATTCTAATCCATCGACATATATAACGAAATATTATCCTGAAATTTAACCCTCGTAGTCTTTATATATGGGGAAAATCAGGAACCTTGACATAAAATTAAAAAATAAATATTTTTAAAATATCATAAATTTAGTTTCTTCATGCCATTAATATTGGAACCAATTCTATTTGTGACCATTTCTATTCAATTGATTATTTAAATTTTCGATTAGAAGTTGGAAAGAGAGAGAGAGATAGTGTAAACGAGCACAAGGGTGAGAGAAGGCACAGAGAAAGAGAGTCAGCAAAAAAACTATTCATTATTGAAATGACATTTGATTTGCCTCCACCAAGTGTGGGATGTTTGGCGCTGCATTCGTTGCCTTCCATCGTTGGTGATGGCTTGCTGTGTGGCTGACTGGTTGGGCCGAGAGGAGTTTGAGTAATGTTTTTGTTATGACGCCAGCGCAAAGAGCATAATA